GTCACACCTATGTTGAACCCTTTGATTTACTCCCTGAGAAACAAAGATGTCAAAGAGGCTCTTAAAAAACTTCTAGGAAAGAAAAATGGTATTCTATGATTCTTATTTCTGCTCAAACAGTTGTATTGTGGCTATTTGTTTCATACCTTTTGTGATCACTTATGTTATTCTCCTTAAAATGACAAAAGTACTGTTAGTAGCATTTTCCAGGTGATGTACCCTTGCCCAAGGGTCCTTCTTCCCTCTCTTGGACATCATTAATCCTGAAAATCCTGGATATGAGAGATGCTCTGGAAGTTAGGGAATTATTTTCAGGATAAACCCTCTCAATGATCTCTAATTACATTTTATTTCACAGAATCAATGTGTATGCCATACTGTTGAACAATGTTTTCATATTTTATTATACTGTTCAAACAAATCTTTAACTAGTATGTGTCTTTGGGCTTGTCCTTCCTTGTATCTGCAATTATGGGTAATTCACAGATGCCTATTTTTTAAATACTATATTTTTTCAACCATATAGCTAGTTCCATTAGTATATGTAGTGGTAATGAAATTTTCACCTTGATTAAATATTTTATATGTGTTATACACCAAGGAAATAATAATAGTAATGAACCAACTATAGATAGCTTCACTAMGTACATTAACTTGGAAAGTTTGATTTCTAGCATGCCAGGAATTTTGGATACTCTGAAGCACTTAGTTACTGGATCCTAATTCAAAAACTGAAAGGGAAATAAAAATTTAAAATACTTTTGAACACTCATTCCCTTATTCAGATATTTATRATTTTGTCTGTGTTAATTATTGCCAAGGAACAATTGAAAGAGGAATGAAGGGAGTCATCAAAACAGAGTGTGGCCTCCATATTGTATATGCTGATCATTCCCACATTAAACTTTTTATTTACTCTGTAAGAAATAAAGATACTAAAAAAGCTCTAAGAAATATCCTGGGGGAAATATTTTTCCACTAGTGAATATTAATTTTACAGAAGAGTAGGTTTCAGTGTGGCACATCTGTAGATACCTATAACATCATTTTATCAATTTCATTATACAGTATTTTCCTTACCTTACCTGCTCAAATTCTTCTCTCTTTCCTAAWAGTCTCCTTCTGTCCTGTTATTTTCTTCTATCTTCCGAATGTGAGAAAAATATTTGATACTCGTCTTTCTGAGTTTGGCCCATTTTGCTTAATATGCTGTCTTCCAGTTCCATCTATTTTCCTGAAAATGAGTTCATTTCATTCTTTATGGCTGAATTGTGAATATATACCACATTTTCTTTATGTATTCAAGCATAGATGGACACCTAGGGATACATTTTTTGTGTATTATAAACTCATTGATCTCCAATAACATTTTATGTCAAAAAATCAGTGTGTATGTCATAGTATTAAACAATGTTTTTATATTTTATTATACTGTTCTAACAAATCTTTTCTCAAGTGTTTAAGTTAGCTATTGAGAATTATACTGTGAAAATAAGTTAAAGGTACACTGACATTAATTCTTTGGATAAATATTGAGCAGTGGTACAGCTGGATCATGGGTACTTTAATCTTACATTTTTGAGGAACTTCCATACTTATTTCTATATTGGCTATACTAATTTACATTCAAACCAATCTTTTGTACAGCTTCCTTTTCCCTGTATCCTCACCAGCAATTATTGTTGYTTGTATTCTTTTTAAAACTTTTATTTATTYATTCTAATTTCTTATACATGACAGAAGAATCCATTTCAATTCATAAAATACACATAGAACACAATTTTTCATATTTATAGTTGTACACAAAGTAGAGTCACACCATTCATGTTTTCATACATGTACTTAGGGTAATGATGTCCATATCATTCTACCATCTTTTCTACTCCCTATGCTTCCTTCCTTCCCCTGTCTCCTCTTTTCTCTAGTCAAAGTTCCTCTATTATTCCCATTATCCCACCCATTTCCATTATAGATTGGCATCCACATATCAGAGAATACATCTAGCTTTTGGTTTTTTGATATTGGCTTACTTCACTTAGCATTCTCCAACTCCCTCCATTTACCTACAAATGCCATGATTTCATTAACTTTTAATGCTGAGTAATATTCCATTGTGCATATATATCACAGTTTCTTTATCCATTTAGCTATTGAAGGGCATCTAGGTTCCTTCCACAATTTAGCTATTGTGAATTGTGCTGCAATAAAGATTGATGTGGCTATATCACTGTAGTAAGATGTTTTGAAATCCTCTAGATATAAACTGAGTGGATTGCTGGGTCAAATGGTGGCTCCATTATGAGTTTTCCAAGGAATCTCCATACTGCTTTCCAGATTTGTTGCACCAATTTGCAGTCCCACCAGCAATGTATTGAGAATTATTGTTGTTTGTATTCTTAATAGCTGCCATTCTAACTAAAATGGGATAAAATCTTAGAGTAGTTTTGATTTGCATTTCTCTATTTGCTAGAATGTTGAATATTTTTTTCATGTATTTTTTCATCAATTGTATATCATCTTCAGAGAAGTGTGCRTTCAGTTCTTTGGCCCATTTATTGACTGGGGTTTTTTTGGTGTTAAGTTTTTTGAGTTCTTTATATATTTTAGATTAGTGCTCTATCTGATGTGCTTGTGGTAAATATTTGCTCTCATTCTGTAGGCTGTCTCTTCACCTCACTGATTGTTTCTTTTACTGAGAAGAAGCTTTTTATTTTGAAACCATCCCATTTACTGATTCTTGGTTTTAATTCTTGTGCTGTAGGATTCTTATTAATAAAAT